GCTATGTCTTCACTAATTAAGCAATATCAGCAGCACACTGGAGCATGGAGCAACGTTTACGAACATTCAGCATGTCGCTACAGTAGCTCTTTCCCTCTTAAATGGTTGCTGCTAGATAGTAACGTATCTCCAGGGGTGAAATGATACAGTGGCAAAGAGGTCGATTTTGAACGCCGGAAATACTAGGCTTGAGTCCAAAGAAACTATCAAATTTGCCTTGACGATTAATTCCCTTAAGCAAGGGGTTTATCCCAGTTGTTACCTCAGTGCAATCAGCCAAAAAAACGAGTACCAAGTCGTTCACTTGCGAACAACAGGATTAGCACGATGTTCTGGTGTGGTCGTACCAGAATTGGCGTGAGGTACAGTCATCCCGTCGAATCCGGGTCCTTTTATGGCCGCAGTTCGTCTGGACCGACCTGATAGGTGAGCTGGCTGTTCAATGTGACAGTCAACGCAAGGTGTAGCCATTTCCTCCCAATATAACAGGAAAGAAAGTGAAACTTATGCCCTAATAGAAGACGCACCGTTCGCTTGCGCATACTTCTGGTTCTCGAAAGTGTTAAAAGCTGTCGCAATTTGTATGACATTAAACATGATTGTGTAGAAAATGATATAGATCGTGCCCATGTGAATTCGTGACATGGGTTGTCTGCTTCTTTGGTATTTCATTGTGTTACCGATAGTAAGCGGAAGGCAAACCTCACCTATGCCAAACTGAGGCCTTTGTCGAGTAGCAGACGCGCGTGTGCCTCATAGTTCCGACAAAAGCTTGAACATAAGAGAAGAGAAGCGTTTAATGAAACCGATAGCTTGACATTTTCTATAATTTTGAGGGAGACGTTCCCTCAGCCAAAGATATTGCCGAGTCAGGTCACGGGCAAGATGTTGCTCAACCTTAAAGAGGACCGTGTGTTAGTTGCTATTAGCTGCTGTTAGTTGGACTTGCAAATTAAGAACTCAAAAGGTCAGTGCTACAGGTTCAGTGCATCGTCGATTCTCTCGCAATGAGTAAAAGCAATGAGTGCGAAAATAAGTGGACAGTTCATGAGTCAGCTATTCATAGTCGATTGTATTCATTTGCCGACCGCTGGAGAAGGATTCGCCTATTTGATGTCCATTATGGCGCCGAAATGGTGCTTCTACACCTTCTTCGCTTCAACCGATATTAGCTCGTATCAGCTGATCGACTTTTTGCCGCCATTTCTCGATGTTCGATATATTTTTCAGTTCCATTTCGACTTGCTTTGAACCACACCGTTAAATTTACACGCATATTTTTGTACTAGCTGTTTTTGATCACATTCAAAGAGTCTGGAACATTACAGAGCAAAAACATGAACTCCCCAACATGAATTCACTCTGCCCAAAATCATAATTGAAGCATGGTCGTATTCCGACCACTCAGACACGTAGCCGGAGGTTGATCGTTTGACTGGTTGGCGGTGCCAAGGTTGTAGGAAGGGGACAGTTAATATTTGCTTTGAAATAAGACGTGCATTTGTGGTAGCCGTCAAAAGAGGACTTCCTGCCATACGAGAGTCTGAAAGTAAGGAGGAAACCCCTTGCGATATGTTAAAGCCACGATGCTGCTTGTCATTCGCCAGGAACACCTTTTCGCGACTAAATTCTCACAAGTTACCCACCTTCTCCGGATTCGTTGGACTTGATGAATGTTGGACAGAAGTTTGCAATAATTCTTGAGGGTCGGCACCTCGAATGGAACACTGAACAAATACGTGCCAACAATGAAGCTCAAAAACAAAAGAAAGCCGGCAAAATAGATGCAAGCTGTCGCGTCTCCTGAACAAAACCACAAATCAGAAAACCTCAGGAACTCCCTATGGTCAAATTACTGCTGTGAGGCGAAGAGCAGAGAACCGGAAAGATTTTGTGAACGTGGACTTTCATGCGTAGCGCCTCCACGGTGAGGCAAATCTTTCGAGAACTGAATGATAAAGAAAAGACGAAGCTTTAACAGCGCTTCTACACCGCTAGTCCTCGAAACGGTCATGCGTACTTGGAGGTCATCATTCGTCGAAAGGAACACGAGCTCTCACTATTCAGAGCAAAAGTGTTGAGGTATCGAATTATTGAGTACAAAATATAGCGGGGTCGAATGCAAGATGGCTAAAGTAAAAGTAAGGAGCAGCATAGCAGCAGCGTCAGAGTCAGAGTGCGTATTTTGTGAATAACCCAGTGTAATGAACGACTACATTAGTCAGTTTTCATGACAGTAAAAAACTCTAGGCTCCAGTGATACAACTCTAGTTCGATTAAGGCAAAGAGAGTAACGTTGCATTGTCTAAGGGTTAAGGGTGTTTCGTTGGTACCATACCTACGTTGGTCAAGCAAATATTATGATGCTGTTGCTCAACTGCCGCTCTCAAAGCTCTGGAGCGCCGGCTTGTTTAAGTGTCCTTTTGACCCTTAGATCTCAAGTGGCAGTAGACAGCGCGACTTAGCGTATAACTCGGCGTAATGACTCGTATTAGTTATTCTCTACAGCATATGTAAATCAATATGTTTCGTCATTCGTCCTCATTGCCAGCGCGGCATGAACACCGTCGATGCTACGCAAATCTCCTCTCTTCTTCAGCACTTTCTGAGAGACGTTGTCCGGCAGTCCATGGGGTGTAAAAACGCCCGTGGGCTATTGACGATGCCTCCCCACCCCAAACCTTATTCAGCTCAACAAATTCAGAAAGGTGAGGAAATTCGTGAGGTATTAATCATGGAGAGATATCATTGGCGAGTGATGGGCAACGCCACCATCTTAACCTAGCGGGGTAGGTTCATGCACCACTACCGGGCCATCGCTTAAGTAGAAGGCTGGGTTAAACAAATCAACATATTTAGTAAGTCTTAACTTGAGAACACGGCAGATACAGGCAATTTCTGATCGAACAATCTGACCTAGAATGACTAAGCGAAATAAGATTATTCTTTATTTAAACGGCATTGCATGCCGTACTCTTCGATCCTTCAAGCCAGGCGTGCAGTCATGCCTTTCGTTTACGATCAAGGATAAAACGAGAGAGTTCGAGAGTGACTTATTACCATAGACTAGTCAACGAGCTACTTTAAATTTTAAGATTTATCTTCTCCTCAACTGCGACAGCTGCATATGCAAATATATGCTGATCGTGTCGTAATCTTGCCCTACTCTGCCTCTCGCTTTCAAAAGGTTGCAGAGAGGTTGAATTTTTGAGTATATGATACAGTGCAGCGAAGCGTAAGAAGGCTAAAAGTAAGGCTTTGAAAGCAGTAAAGCTGCAACATGGGAATTCAGCGCAGTTTACCAATTCTTTTCCATTGTCTGATGTATATGTTCCATCCCTATTGACAATCCAGTGGAAGGGAAGGCAGTCGTATATCAGCAAATCACGTTATAAGCGAAATTCGCTTATTCTAAGCCGCGTGTGATCAGTTGGATGCTGATCATGAAGAAATAGTAAAGCTTAATCTAGCGTAGCATTCATCGGCAGTTAAAATAGCGCAATAACTGTAATAGTGTTGTACTCAGCAGGTCAGCAAGCTCTAACCTGAAGAATGTTAATGCCAAAACAATAGATATGTCTAGCCTTATACGAAGATAATAGTACTATGGCATGAGAGAGTGCGCTGCAGTGTTCGAGATTGTAATAATCTGCGTGTAAAGTGTGATGATAGGTGAAAGTAACATGTAAGCCAAGTAACGCGTTTATAAATGGTATGGTATCTTTAGCATATCAGAGTATTTTGTCATACATTTGTTCACCTATAGAAAAGCATTATCAGTCACGGCGATTCCAAGTAGTCTACTTGTGACAGAAGAATGAGCTCAATAACAGGCTTTATTACTTTTAAGAAACCTGTCATTTCTTGAATGATAGTCATTGTTTTTCTTCAAATCGCGGAGAGTCCAGAAAACTGGTGCGAAAGTTTCGAAATCATGGCTGAATTGACACGGCAAAAAAAGGTTTTTCTAAGGATGAAGCGGAGATCGATTAAGAAGCTTTTGCCTTTTATAGATAGGCAAACGATTTAGGCAGTTGAACTCAAAGTGGTTGTTTTAATGCAGACTGGATAAACATGCATTTAGGTCTTTGCTTGTATAGTCAGTCAAGTGGGAGATATGGGATCAACGGTGCAAAGCGAAATGAGATGCGGTGAGAGTCAATGCTGCTTGGAAAGTCGTCCTTGCAGATAGCCTTCCATTTTTCATTTATTCGCGTTTCGACGGGAACGAAGCAATGGCATATGTCCCAATGGCGAAGAGTATCGCTACCTCACGCGTATCTGAGGAAACTGAGTGTGGAAAACTTAGCAGCCCGGAGACGTCTGGCGAAACTTCAACAGAGTTGGAATGAATTGAAGAGTTGGACAGATGGCGGCATCCACTTTCATCGTCAATG